TGATTCTTATTATATTTATTTACTAAATTACTTAGTTAATAACTGCCAAATATTCTAGCCTAGATGATTGATTACATTATAAAATAATTGAAATTTATTTAAAGTATGCATAATCAACATGAAAATAGATAATAAATTTAACAGAAAATTTTGAAGTATTAATTGTATTAATATCTATGAAGTTGTTAGCAAAAACTTCAAACATCTTTTTAAAAATATAATTGCACAATTATAAAAATAAAATAATATTTAAATATTATAAACTATACGCTACTCAATTTACATATAATTTTATTTTTAAAATGTACTTGAATTTTGACAACATTTCCAAAAGAAATTATTTTGATAAATACATTTTGCAGTAAAATAAATCGTTTGACAGCACACACAATGAAATAATGATTACGTATTTCGACATGCTTAATAAAAAAGGGAAATCACAAAGTTTTTGAAATATACTCTTGTCTAAAATTTTAAAAGAAAATAGTTATCAATATACAGTAACTGTCTATTATTTAATAACAGGTTTTTAGATTTCCAATTACAAATAAATGGTTAATGTAATACAATTTGTACCAATATTTGGTAAATTAATTAAATATTGAGTGTTTATTGTAAACCTTGATAAAGGTTTATATAAAGTAATCTATTTCTACTATATTAATGTAAATGATTTTGATTTTAAGTAATAGTAAAAAATATTATTATGAATACAAAATTTTGTGGTGTATGTGGTGACCAATCATCAGGTGAGATTTAATATAAAATATAGAAATAATTAAATAAAATAGTAAATTATTATTAGGCCTTAACTTCGGTGTCATGACCTGTGAATCGTGTCGAACCTTCTTTAGGAGGAGTGCCACCAGAGCTCAGGTATTGTAAAATATAAGTAAAATAAAGTTAATAAGAAAATTGAATTTAAATATTTCATTACTAGGAATATGTGTGCTTTTTTAATAACAAATGTGTGGTAAACCAATTGACACGAAAATTCTGTAAAAAGTGTAGAATCGAGAAATGCTTTACAATGGGAATGAGAAAAGTGAGTAATTTGTTGCTTATATAATATATATTAATAACATATATCTTATTGTTATAGTATTAAATAATTGATAATTAAAAGTCTATATATTATATTAACATATTTTAAGGAAAACAAAAGACAAAACAAAACAAAAACTATTGATTGTTATTCAACTGATATTACGGATAGTAGTTATTCAAATGAATCCACAATTTTAAGTACATTTAACAGCAATCAGACTGAAGTTAATCCGATGGCTTCTGTAATAAGAAATATTATATTTAATTTCAATGAGTTGGAGGCAAATAGATTGAGACATTTATTCACATCAACCGCTTATATGAGAGATCCAGTCTTGAAGACAACATCCAAAGCCGACACATATACCGATGCTTTCAATGTACTGCAAACGCGATCAGACATCAAATGCCAAAAAATTATACAAATGTGTAAAACTATGGCTCAATTCAAAGAGTTGTGTGAAGACGACAAAATCANATCCAGTCGTGAAGAAAACATCAAAAGCCGACACATATACCGATGCTTTCAATGTACTGCAAACGCGATCAGACATCAAATGCCAAAAAATTATACAAATGTGTAAAACTATGGCTCAATTCAAAGAGTTGTGTGAAGACGACAAAATCATTTTACTGAAGGCCTCGTGTCCTGAGATTATTTGCTTGCATTCTGTACTCACCTTTAATTTTGAGGGTGAGTTCTGGACGGTTGCCATTGTATGTCATGTTTGAATGTTTTAAGTAATATGACAATAATGTATTTAATTATAAACAGGACTCCGAGAATGGCGTTATGTTACCATTAAATGTATTAAAGTGGGAGAACTTGAACTTCTATGACATACTCAAGCAGTTTATGATTACAATTAAAGGGGAATACGATTCCGATATGAATCTTATTGATTTGGTATTTAAACGTTAAATTAAAGATTAAGTTAACAATGAAATGTCTGTTTCATTAAACAACACTCTATTTGTATAGTTAATGGCAATCATACTCTTCAATCCCAATCGACCCAATTTGAAACATAAAGAGATCATTGAGTGAGTTGAAGTCTACAACTTGTAGGCAATAGTAATGAATGTCCTAGTTTAATATAATTGTTATTTTTTCATAAATTCGTTTTAATAATAGACTCCAACAGAAGACTTATATGTATTTACTTCAACGCTATTTGGAGTTAAAACACAACTCTAAGACTGAATCCGAGACCCGATTCTTGCGATTAATGAATTGTTTGAATGAATTATATTTCACGACCCATAATATGATTAGCAATCTTATTGCGGTCCTAACTAATAATCCCAGGCCTGAATCCCTATACGGTGAAATAATAGCACGTTAATTATAAATATTGTAATTATAAATTTAATGTTGTAATGTTACATAAGTAGGTTATACATTGTACTGTACGTATACGGTACTATACAATACTTTAATTTTAGAGAAAATTTTTAAAATATAAGTTACTTTCCATAACCTTCAGGAATACCTAAACCTTTAAGAAAATGATTGATTACCAGATTCCTAATAGGGAAATCACAAAGTTTTTGAAGTCACATATACTGTATGTATTTTTAATGTACTTTCAAATGAATATAAATTGTAATTAATATGAATAGACAATCAAATTCAATGTCTACACAAAAAGTGTGAAAAATGACATTTTTGAAAAGTGTTTTCATTTTGTATTTTAATAAAGGTGTTCAATGTTTTATTTTCAAATCAAATACATTTAATAAAATATTATACTTTATATTAATATTTAGATCATATATTTTTCTAAATACATTTCAACAAATTAAATTTGATATTATAATAAATAATCTTAAATTGGTTTTAGAAATTTGTTAATTCTGAATAATTTTTTCATTAGAATTGGATAACAATAATAAACATTTAAATAATACAATTTATGAGATGTTATTAGATTTCATGCCAATAGTTAACCAGGTTAATTAGTCCAAACTATCACTGTTTTTTGTCTCAAATTATATTTTTCGTATAATTGATGTAATATTATACCGAAGTTTTAACAGATTTTATGTTAGTTTATTGTTGAAAATGACAGTTTTATTTACTTAAAATAATCAAATATGTAATACATGATAAACAGGGTGAATGGTTCTTTGATTAGCGTATTTCAGGTATTTTTAATATATTTAACAACCTGTAGGCCAACACCCGTTCAGTTAATAAACGGAGTGTTCAGTGGAGTGGTTGTAGTCATCGATGAGGACGTCCAACAAAATGATGAATTAATCGCTAATTTGCAAGAATTTTGCTCATTTTCATTGCTTTTCCTTTCTATACAACCTATGGATGCCATGGAATCAGTGGAACCGTTAACACGTGACTTGAATCGAACCGAAGAAAGCGGTGCTTTCGATCTTAACCTAAGTGTTCATTATATGCCTCTGGGAAGAGTCACTGTGTGGTTGACATCATCGACGCTAATCACCTGTAAATCAGTGACTCTTCCGGGAGGCATATCATTGGACTCCAGGGGACGGCTCCGGGAGAAGACGGCTTCACGGGTTTTGTCGATACAATAATTGTTTAGAAATTTATTAATTAAATTATAATTTAAACCATTTGAAGGAAAATTAATAAAAAGTGATTTAAGAGTCTTTGACTCGGTAGACACTCTACAGACCGGAACTGATTGAGACAAATTAGGTCATCGACGGCGAGTTGTTAGTGAATTGGATTGTGGCCCTCATTATGGAGTGACCTGGAGCCTAGAGAAGGGATTGTCCCTACAAAACTCGTTAAATACACGACTGGACAACAAATTAGTGTATATTTGGCATTAAGAGCATCCGAAGTCTCCAATAATACGGGACACGTGTCCAACACAGCCTTCATTAGTCTTAAGCCACTCTGTGATGACAATCCCTGTCCAGAGGTAGGAGTGATTCAATGGACACAAACTATTCCCTTATATCACGAAACCATTCAAATGGAAAATTAACTCAAAAATGTTTTAATCATTGATATGGCAAAAGGTTTGGAAAACCATTTTTCGCATCACCAATGATGACATTCCTCTGCTGAACATCTCTTTGAGCCTCAGAGTAGAGGACTTCCAACGGAACAGTATATCGCTTGGAGAGACCGAAGCTTGGGGATACCGGACACCTTGTGCTCCCATTGGCCGCCGAAGGTGTGACTTCAAGTGAATTATTGTTTATAGAAATGAATTAATAGTTATTTTTATGACAATTAATGCATTGAAAGGCAAATGGGATATAAGGCTTGAAAAAAGACGGACGGAAACAGTGATCGCAGACCTGATGGTCACCACAAGTCCCAAGTGAAAGGCCCATCGAAGTGAGCCCCGGGTGTCACACAATCCTTAATAGTTATGGCAATTAATATTGTGACACAATTACTATATTCTATAGAAAATAATACTAAATATTCACAAATATTGTACATTATAAAATAACACTAACAAGTAAGTCTTAAAACTTAAAAGTAATAATTTCATTATTATTAAATTCTTTTAAATAATATACAGTATTAAGTTTATACAGTATCTATAATTCAAC